ATGCAATTGTTGCGAGACTCGATCGCTCTCTAATGCATCCCTGTGAAGACAAATGAAATCTTCTGCAGATGTTGCCCAGGAAGGTAATGCCAAATCACTCATTTCAGAATGAAGAGAGGCGAAAATCCGTGGATCGCTATAAAATTCAGGAATGCATTCATCAGGAGTCCATTGATAAAGCCTTTGCATACTAGACGGGTATTCATTAGGCTCATAGACGGAACGCACTGCTGATCTCAAGATGGTCTTAGGTAACCTCCTTGCTTTGTAACTGCAGACAGCTAGCTCTGAGAGACACTCGTCAGAAACATGATGTGGAACTTCAGATGATGAATACGTAAAATCCAACTGTTCATCACCTTTTGCCAACCGCCATTTACTTTTGGTCAGGTCCCTCCAACCATTATCAGAACTTTCATCAGGCATCACTGTGAAATCTATTACCCAAGGCATCACAGTGTGAAAAGCTGGATCACCCCATCTTCTACCAGCTAACTTGTTTAAGACAAGAAGGTATTCATAATTGGTCAGTTCACCTTTCCACCATTGCTTAAAGTGAGAATGCCAATCTAACGATGATTGCAGTTTGAAACCAGCATAAATGGTTTTTGAGGAACAGTCCTCCATAAAACAACATGAATTAGGTGAACATTTACGATCGGCAAAACCCCAACTGTGTTTTACAGGGCAGGTATCACTTATGCTCAGGTAAGGCCATAAGGAATCTGACATCAAGATCTTTGATGGCCTTAGATTGCCATGATGAACTCCTAAATCATGAAGGTATGCCAAAGCAGATATTATCTGGTAGACAAGAAATCTAATATGCCAATCTGAGCAGAATGCCTCTGGACTGTAGTGCACAATGTTTTCCAAAGTGTATGGGGCCTTTGGTTGCAACATGTAGCAACAATCAGATGTTTCTAGAACACCTAACACTGGTAAGATGTTGGGATGCCTCACACACCCAGAAGAATGCAAGTCATCGAATGCTAAAAATCCAACAAAGCTGAGAAAATCTAAACCAGCAGATCCACTAATTTTGTTTTCAGATAGCAGATTTAGCGAATTAATCACATACTCTTCAGTTGATGAGGTCAGATAACCTGTAATAAGCTCTCTAACCTCTGAAGCGTGGCCTATGCTAAGATAGCAAGCAGGAGTTAATTTTGTAATCGTGCTTATGGCCAGTGGTTGCTTACAGGGGCCAGAGGAACTTTTGCGATCTTCAATGCATTCTATACAAGATGAGGAATCTGACTGCTCGGTATATTGGTTATCACCAGTATATATTGTTTGCTCTGCCTGGGGATCTTTATGAATGCCATTCTCCAAGGAACTGGTGTCACTGTAGGGAACGAAAATGTGGAGAAATCCGTACATGTTGATACATCAATTTTGCAGCCTTTGAAGATAATATAATCCTCAGGTAAGAGAGTTACCATTGTTGGCTATTAAAAGGCACTTTGCCACCACATAGGCCCACTAAAACAAAACTGGAGATATGCTGCCTGCAACATATACAACACCACTTCTGTGTAAGAGTTAGTGCAAAGATGAAGGAAAAGGAAGGCACATTAAATTGGAAAACAGGTAGATTCAAAAGAACCACTGACTGCAACTAACTGTGAGAAATACAAAGTGCATAGTGGTGCAAATGGTTTACCAGTTTTCACTATGGTTTCCTTTTACGCGTGAGTAATTGTTATATGAAAAACTAAGAAATTATGTTCATGTGACTAATTTGGCTGTTTTCTATGAATCAGAGTTTCTGGCATACATTTGGTGGGGTGACTGTCAAACTGGGATGACCCTACATGGCTGTAATTGTATTCCAAGGTCCAACTAAACAAGAGTTTGAAGCAGCATTGACAGAGGATAACTTGTAAATTGACCAGCTACACTTCAGTTGGAGGTTTACAATTATATGGTTTGAAGCATAGAGCTCACTGTAGTTGAAGTTGCACTGAAGCACATTTCTGCTACTTGCCTGGCTCAACAGAAGGACTACGTGTTATAACAATTTAACATCATACACATGGATACATTTGAGTGAAACAATTTTGTCATAACGGCATCTACCCATTGCAATAGTATCCAGTTAAGTCTCACGTAAGTCAAGAATGTAAAGCCATACCTCCCATTACTTTCCTCGTCTCCATCAGATGCTACCTGCAGCGAAGAGGAAACGAGGATTAAGACAAAGGTACAACCAATAGCTCTTGTAAAGGAAGCAAGGGTTTATGCAGAGGAATGGAAGCCCAATAAATTCTGCTTCCAACCGCGCTTGAACGGATGGGAACGCTATGGATTTTCAGAGCGCATGCCGACCAGAGCGCCCAGAGATCAAGAGGTGGGAACCGACGCGCGGACCTGAACGACGGCGGAGGCGGCGAAGGGGAGCGGTGAGTCGGAGAGGCCGTGGACGAAGGAGAGTCCGGAGCCGGCGAGGTCACGTAGGACAAGGCGTCCCAGGCAGTCCAGGCACGCCGCAGCGGGCCCCTCCGGCGAGCAGCCCATCGCCGGCGGCCAGGCTGGATCGGAGGAGCCGGCGCCAAACTCGTGCAGCTGCGACGAAACAAAAGGCTCTTTGGTATTAGGTGCGCTCGACCAAATCCACCGGGTCGGACTCAGACCCGTTGGCTCTCTCCTGTTCCGAGTTGTGACTGAAGCTGGGACCAGGGAGGGACTGCACCTGCACTGCACCGCTGAGGAGCACGAGCGCGCTGCGGCGATCGAACGGCGTCCAGTCAGTCACCCGGCTGTGGAACGTGATGGCCGTACGAGGCCCGGAAGCTGCGCCGGTTCTACTGTTAGCATCAATGAAGGGTATGAAGGAGAACCAGGGGAGGAGATCACGAAAAACAGCAAGGGACAGACACAGGTAGGCGAGGGCAGGATTTAGGGTCTGCTTTGGCTCCTTCGCCGAGAACTGTTACATCCTGCTCAGCGAGGATAAGGCCACGTTTAGTTTAAAAAAGTTTTCCTAAAAAGTGCTACAGTAGCTATCACATCGAATCTTGCGATACGTGCATGGAGCATTAAATGTAGATGAAAAAACTAATTGCACAGTTTGGTGAAAAATCGCGAGACGAACGTTTTGAGCCTAATTAGTTTATGATTGAATACTAATTGTCAAATAAAAACGAAAATGCTACAGTAGCTAAATTCTCAAATTTCACCTAACTAAACAAGGCCTAACAAATGACAATGTTTGTTTGGTTCTCTTAGGCATTTCGAGACCGTGCGAGCAAGATTTGGCTTCCACCTAAGTTGCGCAGGAAAAGCCCAAAGCCAATCTCAAGGCATAGTAAAGCTTCATAGGGTCTTTTTCCGTCCAAGTGCAGGTAATTTGTATCTTCACAGACATATCTATTTCACCGAGCCTCAATATGACACAGTGCCCAGATCGTTACACCTTTCGTGCGGGTCGGAACTTACCTGACAAGAAAATTCACTGCCTTAGGACCGTTATAGTTACGACCGCCGTTCACGGGGGCTTCGTAGCTGGCTTCTCTATCATCAGTTCACCAACTTCCTTGACCTTCCGGCATTGGGCAGGCGTTAGCCCCCATACATGGTCTTACGACTTTACGGAGACCTGTGTTTTTGCTAAACAGTCGTCCCACCCTGGTCCCTGCGAGACCTTCTCCCGAAGTTACGAGGCTATTTTACCGAGTTCTTTAGAGAGAGTTGTCTCGCGCCCTAGGTATTCTCTACCTACCCTACCTGTGTCGGTTTCGGGTACGGGGATTGATACCAAGAAAGATTTCTTTTTATTATAAGATGTCTCCCGTAGGAGAGCCAAATCAGCTCACCTGGCCGAGCGAGCATCTCGTTGCTCGTGCAGGCGCAGCAAGGCGAGGCGAGCAGGCTAGGTAGATAATGTGTGTAGTTTGTTATAAATTTGTTGATGCCTTAACCCTCTCGCACTCCAACTCTTATACTTAGGATACATGGGCTCTGCTCAACTCATGCACGTAGGTAACTTCACACCCACTCGCTACCAGTAACGCGGACATTGGGCCGACAGACAAGCGTGCACGTAGGCAACTTCACACCTACTCGCTACCAGTAACGACGAAGTGAGTCGGTCTACTTTGTTCCTTGGTTGATGGCGAAGTGAACCAAGCCACTTCGCTCTTCATTCTTTGTCTTCGTATTTAAGCGAAGTGGTGAAGGTGCCTTCGCCTTCTTTCCTTGCTTCTTCGAACTTAGGTACTCCTATATGCAAGTGTTGGGAAGGAATAATCATTAGCCAAACTCCGAAGTTTTAGGGGTTGCATTTGTTTGAGGTCAAATTGCCAACAGATAGGGAGGAGGCTTACCTGTTTGGATGCCTAACCACTCGGGGACCTTTGCAAGCGAGTTTTTCCTTGCCGGGCTGAGAGAGCTGAATCAACTCTTCGCGGCTAGACAAGGTGCTCGAGCTTCGTGTAAGCTAGGCGAGGCTAGGCTAGATTAACTGTTCTGAGAAGCAGATCCAAAATGTGTGGGTAATACCACCCCTAACACTACCATAGTAGCACTCCTTCACAATAGGAGGCCTGCCATTATAAGAACTCCATGCGCCTCAACGCCGAGCAAACACAAGTCGATATTGATATACGAGTTTACAAGATATTTAGTTTGGAATCAGAAAATCACCCGTGTCTCTTTATGTTGGGATACTTTATGATATGTTGCATTTATTGAATATTCTAATGAAAATATTGGTCAAAATTACAACCAGAAGACCAAAATAAGTCAATTGCACCAGGAATTTATGACTAGACTAGAGGATAGTATTTTACTCAATCAGAATTTTTTTCTGGATTATTTTTTAAAAGCGACAATTGTATAAATCATTTTTTGGAAAAGAAAATGATAGAACTTTAACGCCTCAAATGAGGACCGACCTTCCCCCAACGGAACAGGTCTGCTCAAACCTTCCCAAAATTTTTGAATTCCTATTAACGGTCCGCGGTCGGCGCGGGGCGGGGCGGCGGGATCACGACGAGATGGAGACCGACACCTCCTCCTGCGGAGGCGGCGGCACCGAGCAGCGGGGTATAGGACTTGTGGAAGTGCAAGCGGCGGCGGCAGCGCTGCGGCGGTCAGAGGTGTTCCACGTCGTGAAGGAGCTCGTAGGCTTCGTCCTCTACATGCACCACCAGATCCCCTCGTAATCCCCGATATATATCCCTCCCTATTTTCTCCTGTGCAATGCTGGGATTTGGTAGAATCTATGGCGGATATTGTTGTTTTCGGTGTAAATTCTTTGTTTCGGTCTAATCGAGCGATTTGCCGCAGTTGATATTGCGTTTTCGTTGTATATCTGATCGTGCGCGGCTTTGGTTTTGATCGATTTGATTGGATTGAACCTACGCTTATGGTTGCCTAGAGCAAACTTCAGGCCAGTTAATCTAATTAGGGTTTGAATTAGCTTTATTTTACGATGGATCAGTTCACGCTCTAATGTTTATGCTATGGAGCAATTCGCCTGATAGCGGAATGGCAACTTTGGATTGACTGGCTATAGTGGATTAAATCATTACATGCAGTTGAACTCTGATTTACTGGGAAATTCATTGGATAGTTATTTAAACCGGGAGATTTAGTTTGCACATTAAGCCACTTGCTTCTGCATAATTTTGTGATAAACCTTGATTTCAGATGTACTCTTCGTTTGTCCATGCTCTTTTAGCTGAATGTTTCTTGATATTGTCTTGTCCTGGCTGCTGAGGTATTTTATTTGGAACCTGCTTATGGATCTATGCTGAGGTCCCCAATCTCAGGTTTTTTGGTTTGTGCGTATATTGTTTGATTTCTATTGTCGTTTACTATCGTTTGTGTTGTTTCTTGTCAATCCTGAGCCGAAACTGTCTTGATTTACTTCTATTTCGGTATATAGCCAATTGATGCCTCATGGTGATAGTTTGTAGTTTGTTAGGTACTGTAGGTTGAGTTTTATTCCCTTTTTGGTTTTCATGCTCAATGAGTTTCACAGTGTGCTCACATGCAGACAAAATTTCCTGTAATAATCACAAGAAAGATTTACTCTCTTTGGTGCTTGAGTTCTTGATGAAGTGTATGTCTCTGACACCATTGTGTAGGTCGCTCACAAGAAAGGCACTGTCCAAACAGTTATATGACTACTCTCTTTGGTGCTTGAGTTCTTGATGAAGAGTATATATCTCTGACACCATTGAGTAGGGTCGATGCTCAACAGCCACTAACAACAATGTACTAATAGCACACTCAATGAAAAACAATGTACATGTGGAGCTTGGAGTTCTGATATGTATTATCTGAATAGTACTTGATTTGTCTTTGTGTTTGTAGTACCCAAACATAGGACACATGCTCCCTACACCTGTACGCCTGGCCATTAGCAGTCCGTGCCTAGCCGAATTGTTTAGGTGGCTTTAGTAGCACTCCTCAGGTCCTGGCTTCGACTCCCTGTGGCAGCGAAGGCTAGGATTGGGGTTAAAAAAATCCCCTTGTTCGTCCCACACCAAAGCACAGGTCTAAGGACCGGCCCAGGTTCTCACATGGGCAATGGTGCCGTTGTGTATGGGTGGGGCAGGGGTTCGGGGATTTCCTCGACCTGCGTGAGAAGGTTAACCTTCTACCTTAAGCTCTTAAGCAGGATGCCCGGGGGCTGTCATACTCCCATGGGTCAAGTTATTTTTTTGTTTCATGGGAGCACTGTCCCAACAATTTGACTACTAATTGAGTTATTGAAATTATGCATTCCAAAAACCTTATTTGCCTGGGGCTGCTGTGTTGAGTGTTATTGAATATATATATCCATGCATAACAATTGAAGAACATAGTGCTTTCTTTTTGTAAGATAGGCTAGGCTCGGTATGTACTGCGCTATTAATTATCAAATGAATTTGGAGTGTGTCTTAAATTTCCTCTTTTGCCAGGGTTTTGCCGAGTCTTGAAAATGAATTTGCAAGTTTAAAGGAGGAAATGGTAATTTCAGCATTCAGTAAACACTTTGCTACTGCCATCTATTTTGGAAAGTAACCAGTTTGTGAATTATAACTATTTCTAGACAGAAATGACATTACAACCGGCTGAACTCAAACCATCTGATCAGAGAAGGTACAACACGCGAAAAAGGGAGGTTAGACGTAGAATAAAGAAGCACGAGAAGTTGATGAATGGCATCTCTACCTTACTCTGTTCTCTTCAGCAAGCACTTGATGAAGTTTCAAGCATTGAAGGAGTCGTCCTGATCCTTGGAGGAAGCCTTGTACGACCCCTATTTGTTTATGACATTACAATTTCTCATGGTATCTTTGATTCAGGAAGTGCCAAAGAGCATGCTCTAACCAAGTTAGTTCAATCTGTTTCTCGGAAGGTGAGCTACTATTGCACCAACATTTTCCCCTGGATCTAGAATTACTCTATTTTTTTATGATTTGTTCTTGGTTAAGTATTGAGTACTATCCACTTAAGATCTCATTGTTGTATCCATGGGAAATCCGAAACATGGTACCTTTTTGTCTCTACTTGAACAACAATATTTAAAAATTTTGTTATCTTTATGACAGATTATCTGTTTGTAATTCTAATTCAGCATATGGCTAAGTAGTTGAACCTTGTCATATATATTGCCACATTCCTAGGCATGAATACATGGAGTGACTTCATGAGTTCTTATACTATCAGCATCTATTTAGAATTTGTCCTCTTTGAATGATAAAAAACTTGTGTATTTCTAGGCTATCCGTGCTCTTGTATCATGTGGAGCAGGGAGTTTGTCCTACACAGGTATTGTATCTTCTCTTTTGCTATATATGTTGCGCTGAGGTGACAGACCACTTTTAACTTACTGCATTTCCATGTGTATTCTCTTCAAGGACCTAGCAAGTTGTTTTTGTTGGTAAGATGTCCCAGTACATTGAACCTACCGCAGGATTTCCTGCCAAGGCGCGATTTTCGTTATAGCAAAAAGGTATTGTTCTTTTGTCAGCGTTAATTTATGTAACTCATCTGTGTTTGTCAGCATTACTCTGTAACATAGCAACTCCCCAAGGTTAATTGCATGAACCTAAACTTTTCACCTCAGGTTGTACCTCTTCAAATGCATATAAAGTGCAGCAAATCAGTGTGTTCAGGGAATAACCAGCACCATATGCCAATTGTTGATGCCCCATGTTCCACTTCAGAATCTTCTCCTTCAGATGTTATTTGGTAATTTTCCTTTTGTGATATCATCTTACAATTGATTCAGCTATGGGATTCTTCCACAATTTTCATACCTTTTACAGTGTTGAATGTAATGTCTTCTCATACTTCATTACAAATTATTTCCGTACCTTCTATAGGATCAGGATTCAGGGCTGCATTGTCAAACTGCAAGTTTGTTTCACAGATGAACAGTATTTTGTTTTTGAAATTATTTGATTATGCATCTACTTTGGCTTTTATGCTTGAATAGTAACTTCTATGTTTTGATGGTTCTGGACGAGGGATACCACGTAACTCTTTTTAAGCTGTTACTGAATCCTGAATCAATAACTATGTTCTAGCTACAATAAATTTTCTGCCCTGACTGTGGTCAATCCCTTTTAATAGTTCATGTTGTTTCTTACAGGTTCCAGTGCAAGCATACAATAAGAGGTTTGCCAGGCAAGGCGTCACTAGAAGGGTGATCTGAGTTCATGATACCAATGTTAACCCAACTTGCCTTTGTTGTTGTAGCGAATGATATGACAATATGTGTACAGTAGAGGATGTTTATCACTTTGATGACTTGAAGCAGGAAACGATCGTGGACTCCTTGTGTAAGGCAACTTTTGCACGTTTTCAAACAAAATAGTCCGATGTTCGAGACAATGCTCAGCTACTTTTTACTAGGTGCTCCGTCTCTAAAAATATGGAAATCTTGTTTTCTGAGAAGTAAAATAATTTCAAATATAATCAAATATTTACAAGAAAGTACAATTTTTATGGTACGTGGTAAGTACGCTAGATTATTAATTATGATATATGTTTTCATAATAAATATATTTAAAGATACAAATGCTGCTACTATTTCTATATATAAATCTTATCAAATTTAGATTATTTGACTTCTTGATAAGTGAGACTTTTATTCTTTTTGTGGTAGATAGAGTAGCATTTAAGAAGAATTATCACCGGCCCTGGGTGTATATACATATATGCTGTTCGATCCAGATTGTTTGACTTTCTCTTATCACAAACTTACGAATTTAACTTAGTTTGCCAGGCCTACATACTATTTGCTAGATTGCTACTTAATCCATTATATACTGTTATGTGGCAAATTTTGGTTTACCTTTAAGTTGTGATTGAATCAATCTAATGAACGGGGGCCTTTTCAAACTTCTAAAAAAAATAGGATTGACTAACATCAAATCATTGCAAACACAATATGTTTTGAAGCGATGGACATGCAAACAAAAAGCTCGAAGCTGAAAAGAACTTAGCTTGATAAGAAGTGCACATTTGCAAAGAAAGACGATAAGAAAAAGGATAAGGGTTTAGCGGTATGTACCAGCATAAAAAATGTTTATTCTGTCTAGATGTGTTGAATGGAAAAAATACTCAGTTGTATGTAATTGTTTTATTCTCTTTTATTAGAAGGCAAAAGAAACTACAGAAGTGGCATTCCATGAGTGTGCAGCAGTACAGGATATTCCTCCTAGCACTTCATGCCCCAACGAAGGGTTGTCTGAACCATACAATACCTTCTCTCAACTATTAATGGTAATATTTCTAAGCGGTCGTT